GCACATCTTGCGGCTACAGGTAACCTTGTCATATAATCCCATTTATAAATTTATCAAGCTCATCAAGCCTTCTAATAAAAGACAGTTTTCAAAGTAACAAAATAGATGAAATTGCCTTCTAGTTGACCTTCCTTAAGCTAAAGCTCAAGTGAACAGTTGTGTTTTGCCTCTGAGAGCCATCCAACATAAATTCTGCTGTGTCTGCTATTTGACCTGTAGCAAGAGCATGTTCCAGAGAGTTCAAAGCTAAGGACTGTTAGGAGAGGTGGCTTAACTGATTTCTAAAACACTCAGAAAACATAATGAAGAGTATGTTATAAAGATGCAGAGATAAAGGGATCTTAGCCATCACACTAGCTCATAGGGTAAGAGGGTCTCTGAGGCTATGTCTACACTACATCCCTCTTTCGAAAGAGGGATGTAGTGTAGACATAGCCTCAGAGACCCTCTTACCCTATGAGCTAGTGTGATGGCTAAGATCCCTTTATCTCTGCATCTTTATAACATACTCTTCATTATGTTTTCTGAGTGTTTTAGAAATCAGTTAAGCCACCTCTCCTAACAGTCCTTAGCTTTGAACTCTCTGGAACATGCTCTTGCTACAGGTCAAATAGCAGACACAGCAGAATTTATGTTGGATGGCTCTCAGAGGCAAAACACAACTGTTCACTTGAGCTTTAGCTTAAGGAAGGTCAACTAGAAGGCAATTTCATCTATTTTGTTACTTTGAAAACTGTCTTTTATTAGAAGGCTTGATGAGCTTGATAAATTTATAAATGGGATTATATGACAAGGTTACCTGTAGCCGCAAGATGTGCAGCTCCCTTCCAGTCTTGCCTTACCACCATCCCCTCTCTAGACCATGCCACCCATAAAGAAGACATTTTGATGGGCCGTCTCTCTCACTCATTCTCTATTGGTGGTTGCCTGGACCATTTCTTTCTGAGGTGGCAACATCTGATTTTGGACAAATGACTTTTGGATATCATATCAACTGGCTACTTACAGATGAATTCCTGTCTATTCCTTCCCCAAAAGTCCCTTCCCCGTACCTTTTCAGGGACCTCTCTTCCAAGATGATTCTCACACAGGAGGCAGATTCTCTAATGCAACTAGGGCAATAGAACCAATACCTCCTCCACACAAGGGGAAGGGAGAGCTTTTACTGCAAAAGGTAGCGGGGTTGAAGACCTAACTTGGATCCCAGAGAGATCTGTCTTCATCTGCCATTCAGGATTCAGGGAGATTATCATTACTTGCTATGATATGTGCCTGTGCGGCCGCACACAAAAAATTCTTCCCCTGCCCACCTCCTCTGGAAAGCTGTGCAGCAGCACTCACGTGGCAGGTGGCTGCTCCAGCAGTCAGGGCTGGCTGAGACAGTGTGGTGAGGAAGCCGCTGGGGTGGAGGGCTGGCAACTACTGCGGCTGCATGGCAGAAGGGGATGCCTGCTCCGGTGGCCAGGGTTGCCACGTGGCAGGGGGGACCAGGGCCTATTCTGGCAGCTGGTGCCAGGAATGGGGCCTGCTGCATGGTGGGGGGAGTGTCTGCTCCGGCAGCTGGGAACATGTGTGTGTTAATAAATCGGGTGGCACACATCCAAACCAGTGCATGTGATCTCAATATTGGTGCACAAGCCAAAACTCACTCCACTCATGGTTGGAAAATCTTAGAAGGAACACTGGTGATTACCCTAACCATTATAATCCCCTCTTTGGCAGTTTGTGGTGCACAATTTAAAAGACATTTCCTTTCAGATTGATATCCCAACACAGGGAATTCCTGTGTTTTAAAATGGGCTCAGTACAGCTCCAAAGGTCATGGCTGAAGTAGCAACACAGCTCTGCCATCCCAGCTATCATATAGTACCATACTTGAACAACTGCCTCTTCAAGGATGGCTCATATTAAGAAGTGCAGGTATCACTCACTGCCTTATTTGCCCTTTGCCCCTCCCAGGGTATTCAAGTAAACCCAGGAAATTCCACTTCAAACCCACAACAACTATACAATGTATGAGGAGTAGTTCGGGACCTGAGGCCAGGGCCTGCTTACCAGAGGACAGATTCCTTGCAGTAAAGAACCTCAGAATTCAAATACAACCTCAAACAACTATCTGGTCCTGCTTCCCTAGGCCACATGGCATCATGCATCAGTGTGACTTGCACTCCACATCAGACTTCGTCAGTGCCACCTCCAGACCTTGGTGGAGAAGTATCTATGTCCTGAAGAGATTATTCTTTTTTTTTAATGAGTCTCACTTCCTATCAGAATCTGACAATGTTTTTGTGGGGATTCCTTTTACTTCTCCCACCCATCTACAAAATGCTTGCCACAGGCATGTCTCTTGTCCATGTATCTCAGGGTTCTGGAGTCCGTGTTCCTTGACTTATACTGAGCATGCAAGCAAATCCTGCCATTATTCTGATTCACTTGTGTCCAACTAAGGTCAGACAGTATGACCATTGTATGTTATAAACAAGATGGGGCAGCTAGGTGCATACCATTTCCCACACAGGCAGTTTTGCTGGTGCATCCACTATCAGCTCACTCTCTTTGCATTTCATCTAACCAGGCAATGAATTTCCTACTAGACAGACTCAGATGGCCTTTTCAAGAGGACCACAAATGGATGCTCCATTCATCTGTGGCCCAACAGTTATTTTCTCTTTGGGGATTTCCAATGTGAGACCTCTTCACCATCCAGAAAAAACAGCCTTCTGATTTTGCAATGAACAGAGATATGGTTCCAGAGGATATGTCTGCCTAGTGCAATGGGCAGACTCGCTATTATAGGTCTTTTCTCCAATCCCCCTCCTGCCTCATTTCAACATGAAAATCAAGGTAAACAAAGTGACAGTAGCTCCAAGGTGGCCATAGTGGTTCTGGTTCATGATGGGCCTCCGTTGACCTCCCAACTGTGTTTTCACTTATAGACATCTCAAAACCTACTGCCATTGAAGTCACCTACTGTCATTGAAGTCATTGCAATACAGCATCTGACAGCCTGGCTTTTGGAGGGACAATGGACTTTAGAGAACTTCAACTCAAATGAGGACCAAATCCTCCTCCTCAATAGCAGTTCTCCACATTACAGATGGAGATACTGAGTTAAATGAGTTGTACTAGGTTAAATGAGTTGTATTAGGTGACAAACCCCTGTTCAGCTGAGCCATTGAGTATGTGCATAAATATATGTGTAAATCATTTGCTGAGTAGGAATGGATTTAAATAAGTTCTTAGTTGCTTTACTGAATTGGTTCTGCAGTCTCTAAAGGCTGAAAATAGAACCCAGATCATCTTACTCCCATCTTTTTGCTTTAACCATTGATTAGATAAATTTACTACAAAATCACTGCTAGGTGATTTTGGAAGGTGAAGCTAGCAGGTGTGATGACAGTGTCAGACAAATCTTGAAAAAGTCCTTAGTTTGTTTCTGTTTTTTTGGCATCAGAGGTTTAATCTACATGCAGTTATCAGTTGGAAAAATAATCTTAGTAAAAGACACTGCAGTAAATTCAGAGTTTTCCCCTTACCTGCCAAAGTTCAATGTTGTAGTCATGTTTGTCCGAGGGCATTAGAGAATGTTGGTTATGAAATAGTCAGAACTCCCTATGGCTGTATTGCCATGTTAGGAGCTGGTCTCTTCTCTTCATGCTTTCCATTTTCTTTTCTTTATGGACTTTTAGCTTCTGATATTCTTAACAAGAGCACAGTATAAGATGTTATATACATGTACCTCCCTAGCCACCTGATGTAAGTGATTGCAAGTGATTGTTTCTCTTCCAAAGCATTAGATCTTTCTCCAAGTTGGAAAGGTGGAAGGAAGAAAAGGACTATAACTAGTGTTCCATTAGCATTCGTGAAATTACATAGCAGAAAACTTAATATGCAAAGAAATATGCAAGTAAATAATTACATCTTTTGTGTCAAAACAAAAATAATAACTCACATGGAAACCACAGGTTTTTTATTATGACTGGATATGGTTTGATACATAACTATCTGAATTTTAGCCAATCCTATAAAAATTGAGAAAATACAATAATATATTTCTAATCTGCTTCCAAATTTGTTTTGTCTGAGTGATTATTGACTTCCATGAATCTGAGCTCAGGAATTTCTCTTTACTCTTGACCTTTAATGCATATTTACTGAATGCATAAGAGTTGAAATGTATGACATAATTGTCTTAAAATATTCAGGCTATAATGATTTAATAGTTATTGTTATTTACATACAAATATAAAAAACCTAAGAGAGAGATTCTAAGGATCACATAGATAATCCTGTAGCTTTATTCTTTCTGCCTCTTAAAGCTAACATGTTTCTATTTCTGAAGGGAAAATACCTTGTAAAGGTTGCTTTGAGAGGGTCTCACTGGTAGTTTACAGAATGACAATTAATGTAAAGGAGTCCATATCTTGGCTGAGCCTTACATGTATGCCTTTTACTCTGTAAACATAGTATGGTTCTACATCATGCTAAATTTTTAAATGTACTGGTTTGATGATAGCTGGGAAAAAGACTTCATTATAGATTTATGCACATTCTTTATCGATACCAGCTTTAATCTTACAATATATTTCTGTTAATCAAGCATTTAAGTATAATTTTAATTGTGAATGATCTATAAAACATTAGATGTTTTTCTTTTCTTACTTTGCTAAGAAATAGTTATTTCATAGCAAATTCATGGTATATGTATTAAATAGCCAGAATCTAAACTTCTCTTGAAAGTTTAGAATTGGTAATAACAGAAGTAGATTGGGTTTTTTATTTAAACCTACAGTGTGTAGATTTTATTTACAACTGAATATTTAACAGTGTATTGGGTGAGGCCTACAGGCTTGAAATTGCACTTCTGTGACTTTAAGTATCCCATCTTTGACACCTTGTATCCTGTTCCCTTTTCTTTGCTATTTTTTAACTCACTGTAACAGATGAGGGGTTCTTCAACCATCTGTTAACCTTTTTTCCCATTTTTTTTAAACATGTAGAGTCGCTCAAGGCAAGAAGACCCAGAGCAAGCTAGACTGAAACAAAAAGCAAAAGAGGTAAGCAGAGCTAGAGATCATTACACTTGACATTTCAAGGCTTGAACATATTAATTTTTTATGCCTTGATACTTGTATATCGTTAATAAAAATCTGACTAAAACTTTTAGGATATATTTGTTGCTTTGCCTTTGATCTTAATGTTTGCAAACTAATACATTAATACATGTGAAGCCTAAGGAGATTTTATAAGAGAATATTTCCATACATTACATTTTCATTTCCATTTTAGGTAGCTGTAGCTTTTGTTGGGTTGTTGATGACAGCAGCATTAGATTTTGGTGGAAAATATATGCCTTTGTCTTTCTGTAAAATGTCACTTCCTAGAAATGTGTTACATTTAGTAGCTAGTTGTTATTTCCATTACAATGTTTTTAAACTTGATGTTTCATTCAGTCATCATTCTTAGTTCCGGTAGTCTAAAAATAATCAAAAAACTGCATTTGAAGTTTTGATAATTTAATTTGAGTCCAACTCTGCAAGGTGCTGACCATCCCTAACTCACACTGAATTTAGGTACTTTCCTCTTGCTTAAGATTACCCAATGTACTTTAAAGGATCAAGCCATAACTTAAAAATATCTACTCATTAAATACAATTGTGATAGACAAAAACAGCATCACTCAGATACCTAGTACACCCTTTTCCCATTAGGTAAAGTAAAATTCCAATGACTGTATTAATGAAGTCCATTAGGAGATAATATGTTAATGGGGATATTTGTTTTGACAAATATTTTACCTGTTTCCCTGTTTTTCCTATTTTCCTATTTTATATTACACACACACACACACACACACACACACACACACACACACACACACACACACACAAAATGTATACGATTTTTTTCTCCATGGTGAATTATTGTGAATAGATATGAAATATATAATGAAGAGGACATGCCAAATGGATTTCATTTAAACTTTTTACTGTGGCTAGCTGCATTTCTGGATTAAAGATTTTGAAAATATTTTGAAAAATATAATAATCAAGTTCTTTCCTGAAAAAGCCCCAGAGTTTGTAATACCAGATACCAACAAAGATTACTAAGGCATAGATTCAAAAGTAAAATCAGTTTTGAAAATACATAAAAATAATTGAATGGAATGAAATGTAGCAAAACAAGCTGTTGAAATAACCACAAAAGCTATTCTGCTGTTGGCTATGAGACTGAGACACTGTTCAGACATTGGGAGCTTATACTGCCTGCAAAGATAATATAGTTAGTAGATTTAATTATTATTTGTTGTTGTTGTTGTAAGCAAACTGTCCTAGAAATATTTAGCATTTGTTGACTATGAGTAGCAATTGTCTTTCATTGAGTGCTCTTGCGATTGGTTAATTGGTAGGTAGGGGAAGGAAAAATGGTTATCTCTTTTAGTAAAATACATGTTTTAGAAGTAGTCAGACTGCAATAAGATGAATTCTTTATAGCTGTGCTGAAAGACTTGCTGTCTAGCAGACTTGGTTGCTTTTGCTCTGAGCAACTGCAAGAACATCTCTTCTTACTATGGGAAATTCAAAGTAACTCTGACATACATTGCATTTTGATCCAGTAGGGGGAGTGATGCTGTGCAGACTTGTGAATATAAGAACATGTTAAAAAATAATAATCTTGATTTGATATTGTTACCAAATATTTTGGTGGTAATCTAATTAGTAATGCTCAGATCAAACTGTTCTGTGACTTTAAAGTAGTAATTGTGCCTTTAATGGCATCTTGTTGGAATGAATGTAGAATGAATACCAGGTTTTCTGTTTCAGAATGCTGCGCCCTGTTCTTTTTTTACAGTAGCCCTGCCTTGTTTCCCACCCTTCTAATGAAGGTGCATAATTTGCTGGCTCTCTGCCTCTGTCTGAAGTTGAATTTCATTCTACATATTTAAAACCATATGAGTATAATATAAGACTCGTTTTTCATTAATTAGGATTCTGAATTTTTTTCTTCAGTTTACAGAGTGTATTTTCACCTATAAATATTTAAATAAATGTAATATATATTTAAAATGCAATATTTTGTAATGAATGCCCCCCAAAGAAATGGGGAATACAAAAAGTAAGTGGGAGGAACATAGATTTTCATTTGGGGGTTCCCCCCCACATTGATTAGTTGGATCAGTTGCAGAATGAATACTGACACTGTTATTTGTGTTGATACCACTGAGACAAGGTGTCCAATTTTGTAATACAAATGATCCTATACTAGCCAGATTATCATTGGGGCATTATATTATCTGAAACTAAGGACCTTGAATTAATTTTCCAAAAAAGTGTCAGTTTTATAATGTTTTCACCAGCTGGTCTACTTTTGAACATACTGAAGATTTGTATTCAAGAAGAGATTTGGGTCTCCCTCCAGCTTTTGTAAACTGATAAAGGTAATACTACTAGCTTTATGAAGAGTAGCAAAATTGAAAACAACATTTCCCTAATCTATAAAAATGACATGAATGTTGGCTTTCAAAGACACTTGTTGCTCAGTTGCCCTTCTGGCTGGTGGTTAGACACTATCATTTAGTCAATGCTGTTGAAAAGTATGCTGAGGACACCCAAGTGCCTATTTTATACACAGCATCGGATCTTAGTCTTATTGAATGGATAGTGTTGGTATTTATAAATCATTATTGATGTTTTATGCTTGTAAGTCATACATTTCAGCTTGCTTTTCTTTATCAAAAATTTGAGAATTTTAGCTTTATCTGGAAGGGTTTACAGCCTCTATAACTGTATGATGTTTCCGGGCTGTTAGTATAGCTGTATTATAAGGTTGACACCAGCATAGCCATTGTCTTACCCCCCCAAATATTCTGTCAGTATCTCATCTTCATTTACACTGTGATCAGGACCTTGCTGTGGATCCGACATGTGGAGACTTTAGGAGCAAAGAGAAAGTGTGGGGCTAGAAATCAAGACATTGATGTGTAGAGAATGGGACCAAAGCAGGAGATAAGAGAGAAATATATACATACTAGCGACTAAAATAAGGGGAGAAATCTGAAAGGAGTGGTTTAGTGATGGTTTATGGGGAAGAAAAATCTAAATGATGAAATACCTAGCTTTAGAGTTCAGAAGAAAGATATCAAAGTATAGGAAAAAATCATAATGGGAAAGAAAAAATAAATAAAAGAAAAGGGTACAGATTCTGATAATTCCTTTTATGCTCAGGGGTTCTGGACTGTCACAGCATCTTTAAACCAAATTAGCCCACACCATTTTAAAATTTGTTTAAAATAGGTTATTAAACATAATACCAAACCTATTTAGACATTGCCTTACAGGAGACAATCTGTAACACCGCATCTTTATCCACACACAGGCTTGCACTGTTATACTGATGCAAAGATCCAAGGTGGTTACTCTTTTTTGTTTCAAAATACACTATTTAATTTAAACATGTTCCAAACTGATTTGAAGGAAATCAAAATAAGTGTTCATAAAGGGGGGGGGATTTACATTGGTTTAACTAAATCAATTAAAATTCATGCTTTCATTAAACTGGTGCAACTCTCCCTGTTGACATGGACAAGATAGTGATCTGTCAGGTTATTTTTTATTAAACCTATTTTAAAAAGTGATGCAACATTAGCTGAAGCTAGTTTATTGCAAGAAAAATGCTGCTCTTCACTTGTATTCTGATCTATGTGAGTATTTAAACCTAGGCTACATTCTGAAATAAGAAAGATCCAGTGTAATTGTCAGTTGAACCTGTACAAGGAGTAGCAACATTTGTGGACAACATTTACTTTTTATTACATTATTAAACCTTTCAAAATCAAATTTTAAAATATGATGGCAATTGTTCAGTCAGTTGAAAGCATGGAAATTCAACTACAAATATGTATTGGAGAAATGAGTTCTCTAACATCCATAAAAAGGGTTCATTAAATAGGACATAAAACAGACTATATAACTGCTAGCAAGATTAGAGAAAGATTAAGAATAATTGAGTCAACACCTAGCAATTAATAATATAAATGGTTGCAAGAAAGACAGAGGAGGTGAGATCCTGAGCATCTGTTCTGTTATGGATAACTTGCTATATATTCAATGTCCATTAACTGATATTCCTATTTAAACTGAAAGTGAAGTAGCTGACTTTGTTTATCCTAATAGATTAACCAGATTAAAATTTTGGCTCATTACCAATGTAAGATATTGCACAGTAATAAAAACTTAAAGTAAACACCATGAACACAATGTAAAAGGGCATTCATCCAGGGCCCAGATCAGTTCAGATAATCCCTAGTCAGAATTTGGTCTCAGATGTGTTATACACCATGGCTGTGTCTAGACTGGTAAGTTTTTGCGGAAAAACTTGCCAGCTGTCTACACTGGCCCTTGAATTTCCGCAAGAACACTGACTTCCTGCTGTCTGAAATCAGTGCGTCTTGTGGAAATGCTATGCTGCTCCCGTTCGGGCAAAAGTCCTTTTGCGCAAAGCTTTTGCGCAAAAGGGCCAGTGTAGATAGCTCAGATTTGTTTTGCGCAAAAAAGCCCCGATTGCAAAAATGGCTTTTGCGGGAAAAGTGCTTTTGCGAAAAAGCGTCCGTGCCAATCTAGACGCTCTTTTCCGCAAATGCTTTTAACGGAAAACTTTTCCGTTAAAAGCATTTGAGGAAAATCATGCCAGTCTAGACGTAGTCCATGGGTGTGAAATCCTGGCCCTACTGAAGTCACTGGTAAAACTCCCATTGATTTCAGTGTGTACAGAATCTCACTCTGAGGCTACGCCTACACTACATGCTTCTTGCGCAAAAGCCTTTTGCGCAAGAGTTTTTGCACAAAAACCTCTTGCGCAAGAGCACGTCCATACCTCAGAGCACATTGCAAAAGCCATGTGCTTTTGTGCAAGAGAGCGTCCGCACTGCATGGACGCTCTTGCTCAAGAAAGCTCTGATTGCCATTTACAGAACAGCCATCAGAGCACCTGTGCTTTTTCCCATATGGGTTTCTTGCACAAGAAACCCCTCTGGGGCGTCCACATTTACCTTCTGTAG